TGCTCATTTAGAGAATGAAGATGTTTGTAATCAGGGTCAGGAGAGAAGGAATAAAAATCCCCAAACAGAATGAACAAAATGTTCATTCACAGTATTTAAAAACAAATGAAATGCTTTTATTTTCTCATCGAAATGACAATGAGGTAACAGAGTCATAACAGTCTGGGTTGGTGAACCGAAGAGAGAGAGGAAGACTCATCCTCCACGGCAGAGTATAGACACCATCCCTACCTTAATGATGGATGATCTAAACACATTAACCTAAGATCCTACTTTTGAGAATTTACCTTAAAAAGCCACGGAGGGATGCAGAAATATAATGTACTAGGGAATTTATGCAGCATTGCTTATAAAGTGAAATCTGTTAATGTACTTGTCCCCAATAACCGGATTATCTAAAGCAATGGCACACTGTGCAAACATTAGAAGGTTCTGGTGTGACTAATGCTCCCGCTGTGTTTCTGGGGCAGACGTGGAGATCACTAGTCACTCTTCAAAGGACTTGCTACTGTGTGTAGCAAGGGCTATACAACAAATCAAGGCTCTGCTTTGCGATTATAAAATGAGTCAGGTTTTGCAAACATAATGACAATCCTGAATCTAATATGAAAAGAGTGAACAGTCTTGCCTGAGAGTGTTGCTTTCCGATTTGCTCTAGTGAGTGATTAAGATAGGTACAGCCTTATAATCTCTGTCATTTCTGCCGAATGCAGAGCATTCTAGAATAGCATGTATGCCTCAGGCTAAAGCTTCCCATGAAGATGGCCTGGATTGCATTAAGTCCTCTGCTTAGGACAGTCCTCTATGAATATTTTTTATATATATTGAAGAATCCAAGAATCTTGAGTGGAGAATACTGGCACAGTTGATTAAAAGATGTGTTATTAACATGACGGGCAAGTGAGGCAGAGTGTATGGTGTCAAAGAGATTTAGAGATGCATCTTGCTGGAGATGCATTTATGACACTTGCATTCTAGGGTAATAAATCTAGAGATGCCATCCTCTGTACCGCAGAAACATACATTTGCAATCCAGACTGAAGATCTCTCTTTAGAGACACAGATGTACAGATGTGGCCATCACAGTGTGTGCTCGGTTTGATGATTTAGGGGTTGTAACCCATAGTGCAGCCTTGCGGAATGCATAGGCTAACATCTTGTGTTATTGAAGATGTCCAGTGTTGGCTACCAATGCTAATATGATCTGTGACTGATTGTAGGAGTCAGAGGGTGTGGAGGATACCAAGAGAACATGGTCCTCAATACAACGAAGCAGGGCTCACATGGGCTCACATGAAGCAGCAAGCACAGCATGGATCTGCACCAGGTCCTCTGAGTACATGTTATAGTTGTCAGCTTGGAGTTTTTGTGGGACTCCTAATACTTGGGGTAGGTGTACCTCTGACTTTTTTGCCTGCTCTTGGGACTCTTTCCCTCCTACTGGGTTGCCTTGTTCAGCCTCGCTATGAGGGCTTTCACCTTGTCTTATTGTACCTTGTTTTGTCTTGTTTGACTATCATCATTCGGAGGTCTGCTCTTTTCTGAAGAGGAAATGGAGGGGGAGTGGGTCTGGGGGAGAAGGAAGTGGAAGGGGGGAAACTGGGAAGAGTGGAAGGAGGGGAAACTGTGTCAGGATGTATTGTATGAGAGAAGAACCTATTTTCAATAAAAAAATATTTGAAACTGTTTCTATTAAAATGAGCTTCCTTCATCTCAATCCTCTTCCCCCCTCCATCATCTGTGTAGCAGATAGACACACACAGATATGTGTGCATGTGTATCATATACATAAGCAGTATCTATAGTAGTTTGACCTCTACCCCAACCCACTTTTTCTTTCCCCCCTCTTTTCTCAGGTGTTGTTCTATAACACACATCCCCCGCACCCAAAAAAAAAAAATACATGCCAGTGTTTGCCTTTGGAAAGTATGACCTGTAATGGCTGCTGTTTTTTTTAAGTAATCTATAGAACTTTACATAGGCATAATGAAATCAGTGAACTTTACAGGGGAACACCAAAAAGAAATGACAAACTATGAAATATTGATCATGGTTTTCTTTTGGTAGCGTGAATATGTGTAATTGCCTTTTCTTTGTGTTTTTCTCTGCTTTCCAGGTTTTCTGCACTGAGAATTTATTACTTTTAATTACAGAGGCCGCCAAAATGCTCTGATCATGAGCTGTACTTAGCAGCACGTGAAAGCAGCCATGAGGATGTAATGGCTAATATTTGCATGCTACTGACAATGAGCTTGGGGCTGCTTTAAGCACCTTGCAAGAGATTTTTCTTCATATAGTCAATTTGGTAGTATGGGGAGCGGACTGCGGCCCGCTGCCTGGCTAGCTTAACCCTGAAATAATTACACAGAAACTGTATTAATTTAAACACTGCCTGGCCCATTGTATCTAGCCTCTTATTGGCTAACTCTTACATCTTGATTAACCCCTTTCTATTAAATCTGTGTATCACCACGTGACTGTGGCTTACCAGCATGAGTCTAACCAGCGTCCAAATGGGCAGGAGAATCATGGCGTCTGCCACACTTCCCTTCTTCCCAGCATTCTGTTCTGTCTACTCTGCCCACCTAAGGGCTGTTCTATCAAAAGGTCAAGGCAGTCTCTTTAATCAACCAATGAAAGCAACAGAAATACAGAAAGTCCTCCTACATCACAATTCAATCTTATAGGGAGACATTATTATCCATTCCTTATGTATATATATGCACAGTTTAATTTGAAAATTACCTGCATATAATATGTACTATATTATATCATCACCATATACTGAGACCCCCCAATACAGTACTGGATCTACATGAGTGTTCAATACATCTCTTTTGAACATAAAAGGCAGAAGCTGGGTTCTCATGGTGACTTGAGAGAATGGCCACCATGGGCTCATGTATTTGAATATTTGGAACCCAGTTGGTGGAACTGTTCAGAAGGGTGAAGAGGTGTGGCCTCATTGGACGAGATGTGCTACTGGAGGCAGGCTTTGAGGTTTCAAAAGTGAAGGGGCGAGGTCGATTGGACTTGTGTGATTTCCAGTACTTGATCTCTGCCTCATGGTTGTGGGTCAAGATGTAAGTTTTCAACTGCCCCATTCCTTCTACCAGCCTGGACGCTAATCCTCTGAAAATATAAACTCAATTAAATGTTTTCTTTTATAAATTGTCTTGGTCATAGCATATCATTACAGCAATTGAAAAGTAACTAATACTTATATTAATCAAGTTAATTGTATCCTAGGTTGCAGAAAGAGTATGAGATCTAAGGAATTAATGCTGAATTCTGCACACACTCTACCTCGGTAGGGAAACTTGAATGACTGACTAAATGAATGGCTGCTTTGCTAGTGTGGTTATCTTAGTTTGCAAATCAGCAAAGAGGACATGCAAACCTAAGGTTTCCCTGTGGGCACAATCACCTGAAGAGAGAATCTTGAGTCCTTGCAAGGAAGCATCAAGCTGCAGATGGAAGTTTAAAAAGGTTTGGGAAGGTTTGATGCTCACAGAAAATGCAAAACAAAGAATCAAGAAGAACTGAAAATTTGTTCACCAAGACCCTAGGAAAAGGGAAAGATATCCAAAAATCCAAGAGCCTGAGCCGTTGTGGCTGAATCCAAGACAAAGTCTGGGGCCCCAGCAGGTGGTTTTGGACTTGCCTTCTAGCTCCCGCTGTGATCAATAGTCAGGTCACAGCAAAGTGTCCTTTTCAGGCAACAGTGAGCTCATTCTTCCAAGTGGCAGATTCTCTCACAGTCCCATTGTCTCACCAGGAGTCCAAGATTTAAACCACGAACTGAAAAACCCTTCGCTCTGTCCTTGGCTATTAGGTGACATGCATGGAAGCCTTCATATTTGTCCTCTGTGTTTACAAATTCCCCATTTAAAACCACACCATACCTCATATTCACACACACACACACACACACACACACACACACACACACACACCAAAATAGTCTTAATGTTGAAATAAGTCTGTGTGAACTGGTTAAGAGCCATTGCCTTCATTTAACCCTTTTCCTGTGGTCGTCTTCCTGCCCACAGCAGCTTAGCCTTCAGTTTTTCTGGAACCCATTTGATATTAATGACTGAACATTGCCAATAGCTCCTTGCCTCCATGGTAGCAGATAGCTTACTTAGCTGAACCTTGTTTATCTGTGCATCTTTCACTCTCAATTCTTCCTCCAAACTAGAGCCTGAGTAATCTTTCAAAAAATGTAAATCCTTCTATTCTTTAAGACACATTGAAGGTCTTGTGTTGTCTTATTTAAACACACAGGCTCCTAGATATACCTTGACGGCTCTTCATGCCCCAGCCCTGCTTCTCCCGACCCACGGAAGCCCACCAAAACCTCCCACTCTGCTCAGCCACACTGATCCTCTCTGATTCTTCTAGGGAACTGTGGTCTCCCTCTTCCGCCTGCTTCTGCCACTTGCCAACCCTCTCCAAGTGAATCCTCTCTCCTCCTGAGGCCTCAGCACTGATGACTACCACTTCCCTGATGAGTCTTTTTTTTTTTTTTGTAAATTTTATTAAATTATAAAAGTTTCCATTTCCGCCCCCCCTCCCAACACCCTCCCACTCCCCCCACTCCCCCCCTCCTTCCCCTCCGTCCCCCAGGGCAGTCAGGGTTTCCTGCCCTGTGGGAAGCTCCAGCTCCCTCCCCCTTCCTCCAGGTCCAGGAAGGCGAGCGTCCAAACAGACTGGATCCCCAAAATCCAGCATATGCAGAGGAAACAGGTCCCAGTGTCATAGTCAATGGCTTTTCAGAAAGACCCCGGGCCAGCCACAGTCAGAGAATCCGGCCAAATTCCGAGAATCTGGCTAGATCACGTCCTCGTTCAGTCCCAGTCCGACTGGCCCTGGTAAATTCTCATCAGATCCGTTCCCTTGTATCAGTGGGTGATAGCATCCCTCGCAGTACTGATTTCGTCTTTCATGTTCCTCCTCCTTCCGCTCCCCCTCCGGACCTTGGGGGGCTCAATCCGTTGCTCCAATGTGGGCCTCCGACTGCATAGCTGTCCTTCACCAGACGAAGGATCTATGGTGATAAGCAAAATATACATCAGTATGGTTATGGGCCACGGCCGATTCAGGCACCCTCTCCTCTGTCCAGAGAGCAATCTGGGGGATTTCTCCTTGGACCTGGGATCCCATATATAATCAAGTCTCCTGTAAACCCTAAAATGGCTCCCTTAGTTGAAATATATTCTTCCCTGATCCCATATTCATCCCCCTGATGAGTCTTATATTGCTGGATTCCCTCACCAGAGTGCTTATGATATTTCATTTTAATACATGTATAATATTTGCCCTCAAAAGTGTTCTCTCTCTAAGGGGGCCTATGTCTGTCAGGCTTACCTTGTGTTCCCACCGTTTTCCACAGTACCAAAAATACACTGAGAAGTCAATAAGGACCACATTTCTCCCAGCAGGATATGAATGTCTTGAAATTGTTGAACAGTATCAACCCTTTGCCCCTTTGTTTGGGGTGTAATTAAGTGCTAAGTGAATAATTATTGTATTTTAGAACAAGAATGGAACTAGATACAAGATAACCAGGTAAATTCCATGCTTGTTCCTTACTGATACAATCTTGAGCAGGTCCCCCTCTGTCTTAGGGTTTGTTTTCTCACCTGCAAACTAGGCTGTGTGGAAGCATCGCACCAAAGTGGAAGGCAGAAGTGTGCTTTGCAGTGATTAATAGGCAGCAGTAGAATTGGCCAGAAGAGACAGGAAGACTTAGGGATGGAAAGGCCCGGGCAAAAATCAGCAAACAGCTGAAAAGTAAGTCTGTAGAAGAGATAAGCACCAGAGTGCATTCCTTGTATCCCTTCTCAGCCCCCAAGAGCATGTAAGGTGTTATAGGTGTTTTATCAGCTAATATAACCACTCATGTGGAGTGGGTCTCATTTCTCTCACAGAGAAAAGTACTAAGCCAAAATGATATCCATCTCATCCAAGTCCCTAGTTTGTGTTTTCTTCCTTGTCCTGCCCTGCCTCTGTGGAAGGAGACCACAAAGACTTGAAGTGTGTGTGTGTCTGTCTCTATGTGTGTGTGTGTGTGTGTGCACATGCATGCACGCATACGTCTGTTCATGCCAGTCCAGCACCTGGAAGATTTGGTATGCAGTCATTGTTCCCTGGAGATGGTTTGGTTCTCATGCTTGGCTGCAGGTATTGAGCTAGATCCCCATCTAGTCCCGGGATTCAATATGGAAAGATGAAAGGCTATAGCCAAGCTTGTTTTCCTTAAGCTATAATTCCTATGTTACTTGCATATTTCTGTGAGACAAACTGACTGATTTTGGGTTCTACAAATATACCAAGAGGGTTATGTGATCTTCATATTTGTCTTAGCTAGGGTTCTGTTGCTGTGAAGAGATACCCTGGCTACAGCACCTCTTATAAGGGAAACATTTAACTTAATTGGGCCTGGCTTACAGCTCAGAGCTTTAGTCCATTGCTGTTATGGTGGTAAGCATGTCAGCACATGGGCAGACATGGTGCTGGAGAGGTAGCCAAGGGTTTTACATCTGGGTCAGCAAGCAGCAGGAAGAGAGAGCGACACTGGACCTGGTTTGAGCTTCAGTAACCTCAAAAGTCACCCCCTTTGGCACACTTCCTCCAACAATGCCACTCTCCTATGGGCCAATGGGGGCCATTTTCACTCAAATCGTCACAATATTTAAACTTGGTTCCTGCTGAGTCTCAGCCTCATAGAGGGTGAGAGGTATATTCACTTCTCAGTTGACCAATTACTCTATAGTTACCCCGTCATTATCGTCATTAATGGCAGCCAACCCTGTGCCCAGGGCGGGTCTAAAGCTGTCCTTACAATGCTTCTGGTCTGTGTTGAGAACTAGAGAACAGACACAGAGAACTTAGGCCATTTACTTACATGTATGCAGTTGGCCCCGGCCCTGACCTCATTGCTGTCTTTCTTGCTTTCCCTGAACGCAGCTTTAGTCCTAGCTCGATGACTCACTCTCCAGATGTTGGGAAGTGGAGATGTTGAAGCTTGTCCTTTCCTCTTGGGCCAGCACACAGTGTGTCTCCTCCTATAAGGCAGAAACTGACTTGGCATTTGAACCACTTTAAGGCATGAACAGGAAGGGTTGACACAAAGCAGACACATGTATTAGAGACCCTCCTAAGGTCCTTTGGGATCCTTGCATGTGCCTGTCATTTCCACGTTGAGTAGGGTGGTGGGGAGGTTTCTGATCTGGAGTTTGAAACTTGATTTTCTGCATCTGCCCGACTGTTACCGGGTGAGTGACTGGTTGGGCAGGACACTCGCTGCCTGCTCTGAGGCTTGGCATCTTCCTTGCCATAGGGTTTAAATGAGATAATGATAAGAAGAAGTTCAGTGCCTTATGAATATTCAATAATTAGACAAATTGTTTTTTTTTAAATGTAGGCATAGGTTTTTGTCATAAGCTGTCATTAGGACAGTGTTTCTTGGGCTTTCCCTTATGTCTGATACCATTCTTTTTCTTTCCTACTAAACCCATAAGCAAATATGAGACATGCAGACACAAACTCCCTATGGGAATTCTTAGGAGGGTTATTAACTCAGCCATTTTCCATTAACAAAAATAAATAGTCCAGAAACATCTGGGACACATGCATCAGGAATCTGCTCTGTGCTGGCATTTCATTTTTAAACACAAAGCCACGTTGGACTTACTTCTATGTCCTTGAAAAAGCGGGAGGGTTTCTAAGCCTGCCAGGACTTCCTCTGCTTCCTCTCCCATTTCCACTCCTGAAATGCACAGCCGAGGAACATTTGGGTGGGCTGCTAATGAAAATCTATCCCTGGCTGGGGACAATGCCCTCTCTGCCAGCTCTCAGGCCTGTGCAGTGAGCCCTGAATCCCTAGGACCCGGGGTCCTGGACTGGGCGTGGCTGCTGGAACCTTAGCATCCCAGGGGGTTGGTGTCTACAGGCTGCACTGTACATCCTGCAGAAAAAGGATCATTCAGATGAAGCCTTCTTCCGTTAGAAGCTTTCAAAAGTTTACCTTTGGGTCCTTGCTCCAGCGTTCTCTATTCCCAGGCAGATCTGAGGGACTGAAACAGCGTCTATTAGCTGAGATATGACTCAGCTCACAGAGTTGGTCTCCTGGGGCTTCATGGGCTCTGGACGATGCAAATATGTTTGATGATTCTGCCCTGTGCTGTGGGAGATGAGACGGGGACATGGGAACGATGCTGTCTGATGAGCCGTTGGACCTCATCAGCCTCATGCCTCAACCCTCAAAGGCGCTGCTTCAAGGTTAGGTCTCACAAGGGCAAGGGCTTCTGAGGTCATCTCCGGTGAGGTTCTAGTTTACAGACCTGGAGTCCGAGGCATAGCGAGAGGAAGTGATGTGTGCCGAGTGACTGGTTTTTTGAGGTGCAAGCTCCCTCGCAGTTTTGGAAGGATGGGAGGGGGAACCATTTAAGGAGCGTGATGTGCCAGGCTCCCCCCTGCTTTCATATGATCAGATGTGGTATCTTACCAAAGGATAAGGAAGTGGAGAACAAGCCTGGATGTTCACGGCATATGTGTGCAACCATGTGTTCATGGGAGTGTGGGTTACATAACTAAGAAAAAACGTTCATTATTCTCCTAAGAAAAGAACCTTTTCAGTGGGCTGAGGAGAGCTGGAAGAAAGGAAGAATTTGGAGGATATGGGGAGAAAGGGTAGGAGGGGATTGCCACTCAAAGAAGGAAGGGTGCTGGGGGTGGGGACAAAAGTCAGGAGCTTAGGGATTCTTTGGACAAAAAGCATTTTTATTTTTATGTGACGTGACTGACTTTACTACTCATTCTGCAAACGGCACTGGGGCTGTCTAATTCGTCACTGTGCCTGTGTACCGTGAGAACACCAGTCAACTGCTGAATAGAAGGAATCACCCTCCCTGAGACTCTTTCAGCTGTTAATGGAGTGCTTTCCACCTCCAGCACTACCATCCTCTCCGTCATCTTCCAGTGTCTCTCTGCAGGTTCACAACTGCTGCCGGGTGAGCCTCCAGGAAGTCCATTTCCATCTTGACACCGTTGTCCAATACTTCCCCATGGTGTAGGAAGGCCAAGAGTTTGGGAGGAGACATCCTTAGCTATTGGCTTCTAGATCTTGACATCCTGTCTAGAACTATCGAGCAGATGACGATGTAATGGCTAGGACTCTATTGTGGTCAATAAGATAATGGAAGCATGGTGAGGCAAGGGGATTAAGCCCATCTATCTACCAACTGCCTCTCATGATTCCAGCATCCGTGGAAATGCCCTTCTCTGTGCAGGGATGGCCTGGTCATGTGTGAAGTTTCACCAGACCACCTCTACTGGCCCTTCTCCGACTTTTCAATTCTTTCAGTCCCCTCAGGCCACCCTGAAGAACCAAGTTCTCGCTTCACTAGTCCTTTGTTCTAGTGAAGGACTAGTCATCTCTTCCTAGTCCTCTGTTCTCCTAGCTCTCTGCCCACTTGGTTCCCTGAGGTTCTAGGTTATGAGATGTTATTTCAGTCAACTAATCCATACTGAACACACTCTGAGCCAACAATAGCCAGTTTCCCAAACCTGAAAGTTAGCTGAAAACTCTGTCCCAGGGAGGAGGACGTTGTCTCCACTGCAGTGACGATGGTAGATGATACCCAGGGGAGATAATCTTGCGTTACTTTTTAAGTAACGAGTGATTGGACCTGGAACCTTCCTTGTTGCTTGAGGAAGATGATGGGTTTCAGTGGAAGAAGTATGAACCCTGAGAGCTGGCTGCCTTGGTTCTGCCAGTTGCCTAACTTTGACCTCATGTGGGTTATTTTTCTTCTTAAAGGAGGAATGACCAAGATATCCTCTAGAGTTCTGCTTGGCAGTGACTTTCTGTGACGTCTAGTGGGTCGGGTCCATGAAACAAACACCATCTGTAAGTTGAGGTCCCAACCCAGAGAAGAGTCTTGGTTGATTTTTCTCTAACCCTCTCCAAGGTCTGCAGCTGCCCTTGGTTTCTCAGTCAGGAGCTCAGCCACCACCCCTCCATGCCGACAGCACGATCTGGGATTCATTTTCTTCCAGACACAAGAGCCAAGAAAGTCAATCGTGTCTTACTCGTGATCAGCCTGAAGCTCTGGTTCCTCACAAACAAGGTCATGTGAATCCAGGGCTGGAGGGGCTACTGTATCCTGACACCAAGGCAGCAATGCATGCTAGCTTATGGCTAGCAAACCAGGGACACCCAGTATTATTTTCAAGATTGAAGCGGAATGCGCTCCAGGCCTGGGCACAGTAGGTGGTCTCTGTTTCTGCATCATAAATCATTGGAGTAACTGTTTTTGCTGGCCCCTCTTATGACCCAGTGTAATGTTGGGATTGGAAGGATGATGGAGGGGGGCGTTTCCTCTGCTTCTGATCTCCAGGGTCTATAAATCTCTGCTTACAGCTTCTCAGGGACCACATGTGATGTAGCAAGCCGAGCAGTTGAAGCTTTCCAGGTGCTTTGGCAAGTTCTTTGCTTCGAAGGCTGTGTGACCTTGACCCAACCACCTGCGTATTTATGAACCGTATTTTCTCATCTGTAACAAGGGATGGGGGTTTGAACAGATCATTCTCTATGATCTCTCCGTTTGTATTTGGGACCTCAGTGATTCTATGAGAATCGTGGCACCAACTGTAAGGTTCTCAAGCCCCGTTGCAACCTGGTCTCCTGCCAACTTTACACCTCCCCTCCAGCCGACCTTCCATCCCTCTCCTTGTCTGCACCTTTCTCCTCGATGTGGCAATTCCTTTGAACTTTTGTCCACCTGGATATTCCCCCCTCTCTAAACCTCTATGTGATAAAGCCTTCCTCTCCCTCAAACCTAATTTCTATTCCACTTTCTCTGTAGAATCTTTCTAATCTCTTGACGACCTAATGAATGATGAACCTTGTCCTCTGGATGCTTCTACCATGTAGGGGGTGACATCACTGGGGTGCTTATGTCAAGGGCCTGCCCTGGACTCACGCCCCATTATCACACAAACTCCTTAAAGCCTTAATCACCAGAGGCTTAGCATGTACCTCCGTGTGTACACAGCTCATCTGAAACAGGGTTTTCACCCATGTCTGGTAATCACCTTTCCCAGGTTAATGTTTAAACTCTCTCTTCTGATAGTTACCAGTCAGATTGGATGGGATCTATTCTAAGACCTTGTCTAGAGCAGCGGTTCTCAACCTGGGGGCCGCGAACCTTTGGGGAGTCAAGTAACTCTTTCACAGGGGTCGCCTAAGACCATTGGAAAACACAGGTACTTACATTATGGTTCATCACAGTATCAAAATTGCAGTTGTGAAGTAGCAACAAAACTAATTTTATTATTGGGGGTCACCACAACATGAGGAACTGTATTAAAGGGTCGTAGCATTACGAAGAATGAGAACCACTGCTTTAGAGGAAAAGCATCTTGCTGTATGAAGGAGCTCCAAGTCAAGCCTCAAAGTGATCTTCAGGATCAAACCACTCCATATGTTTGGATTGGGCTATAAGAGGTGTTTCCATATCAGAAGAGTCAAAGGGAAACCTGGGGAGAAGACTTAGTCAGTAGAGTTCTTATGTACAACCTTGAGAACCTGAGTTTGATCTTCAGAACCCAAGTTAAAAAAAAAAATCTAGGTGTGTGGTGGTGTACTTGTAATCCCAGAGCTGGAGACAGTAGGATCTTGGGGGTTTGCTGGCCATGTGGGGGTTTGCTGTTCATCCACTCTAGTGATTGGTGAGCGTCAGGTTCAGTGTGTGATCTTGCCTCAGAAACATGAGATGAAGTGATTGAAGATGCCCAATGTCAGCTTCCAGTCTATGCATGCAGGTACAAGCGTGTTCACCTTTCACCTTCCTAGGCTTGTATAAATACACACACACACACACACACACACACACACACACACACACCCCATATGCAAAGAGCAAAACCTCAGGTCTTCAGTGAATACTAGTGATCATTACAAAAGCCATTCCTCTGCATCCCCTGTCATAAGCCAGGGAAGAATGGATGGTTTCAGACTTGATGTAGGAGGAAGGATATTTCGTTTTAAGAGTTTAGTGAGGTCACAAACCAGGGAATGTTCCAGCTCACTCTCACATCAGCTCACTACAAAGAGCCTGAGCCAATAATGTCACTAGAATTGTTAGGAGCAGAGGCTGGGTCTTGGAAGCTCTAACAAGCTAGACTCGGCCACTTGTTCTCAATAGCAAGGCATGCGCAATGAGGAGCCAGAGGCTTTATTCAATGTGGCCACATTGGGAAGAGAAACAAATACCGACACCCAGTGACATTCTCCCCTCAGCACAGGTCCATCTTCAGGGTATTGACATGAGGTTTAGGTTTAAATGGAGTGGATAAAGTACATGTAACTAAGCAGTTCTGGTTAGGGTGTGTTCCCACCTCTCGGTGAACCATGGTTGTCTAGGCACCAGTCTGTCCTGCAAGGTAATCTAACAAATTGTTAGGATCCTGTAAAATCTTTCTGGGAGAAAAGTTCTCTATCTGCCTGACATGGTTTTTCAGACTTTTCCTTCTCCCAGCATGAGATTCCTGCGGAAATTCCAATTAATTGGAGACTAGTGTCTTCAAATCTTATAGATGGAGGGCCCAACTCATCTTTTGTAAAAGTATCTTTGCTTCTGTCAGGACAGTTCCTGATTCTTGAAGTCTTGTCCTATTACTTCTGATATCTGTAGCACTGTCTGAAGCCTATACCATGCCCAGGAGCCAGGCCTGCTGCATATATTATTGTCTTTAACTCCTTCATCAAAGGCTCAAAGGACATGCCTGGGGCCAAACCTAGGAAATAGAAGGGATGGGATTTGAACCGAAGACTGTGCTTTTATCTCTGTACAGATTTGCTTCCTGGGGCAGAGCCTAGCCTGTCCTCATCTCTGTGCTGAGCCAGCTTGTTACAAGGCTGAAGGAGGCTGAGGTACCCAGATGTGTGTGGCAATTCCAGAGAACTGTGAAAGGCTCTGAGATCTTTGCATTCAAGGCCCCATTGGGCACAGGAGCAACAACTGACCATGGTCCATTCCTTGTTTCATCTATTTGATAAGGAGAAGAGTTTAAAATGAAGACTTGGGCATGTTTAAAAGGCTAAATTAGTTGGGTAGAGTGGCCAGGAGAGTTTCTTGCAGAATAAGAGGCCAGGAAGAATGATGGAAACTTAGCTAGGTCTAATCTCACATATGTGAAATTCACCTGATCACCACTACTTGCTTCCTTTCATGCCCCCCCCACCATGACTGTTGCTGCATCATCCCATAACCAACAAAATCCACTGCCAACACACGATGATGATGATAATGGTATCCTCTCAGCCTCCCCACGAAGGCCAGCGTCCCCAGCCTCGTATCACCCAGCACTAGGACACACATGTCTGTTTCTACTGTCATAGCCAGCTGCTCCATCCCTTCACGACCGCTCTGAGATCATCAAGCCCCTTCTGCCACATGATCATCCTGTATTACTTCCATTACCATCTCCAGCACACTGTGGCGACTGCAAACATCGCCAATCACATCTGCCACTCTGGAAAGTCCATTTTGAAAACTCTACCACTTTGTTTGTACATTTAAATATGAATTTCAGATGTTCTTTTAGACCAAACACGGTCTTTGCTTTCTCCTTCCCTCTCCCCTTTCCACTGTCTGGCTCCAAAAGCTCTGCCTGTATCTGTCTCCACACCAAGCCAGAGACCCTCTTCTGCCTTCCTTTGCTTCTGTCTCTGTATACATCCTCAAACATGGAGTTTCTTTTTCAGTCCTGTAAAAGGAACCTGGTTATTCCTCTGCAATCAAGGGTCCAAGTGTCTCTTGGCACTCTGAGGCTGTTAACCTTTTTACCTGGCTGCAACAACCATATATGACAGACTTTATCACTGATAATACCTTGGAGTATCTCATGCATACCAGCTCATCATCCACTGCAGGAGGTAAGTGAAGGGTTTAAACTTTCCCATTTCATAGCTGAATTTAGGTCTCAGTTCCCTGGGAGGGGCAAACAGGTATCTGTCCCAACAAAGGACCATTATCAACAAATTACATTCAGGGATAAGGGAAAGAACCCGAACAAGGCCTAAGGCAGTCCCACAATGTCTTAAGGGCAGTTCCTGCAACACCCTTGAAAGTTACCCAAGTATGTCCAAAGATAAAACCTGGGCTAATTAAAAGTGTTTTAATGTAACTGCTGCTTGCTTAAGCATTTGTGCTGGAGATGACCTAACTGTCCCTGAACTCCCCCTAACTATGCTTAAAAGGAGCCTGCATGCTCTGCTACAGGTGAACGAACCCTACTTATGCTGGCTCTTTCCGCAGAATAAACGCTCCTCGCTCTTACATACTACTTGAGTTCAGGGCCTTCAGCCAGTGTTTGCTCAGACCTTTCACAGGTGGGCAATCAGGTGACCAAGCATTCTTCCCAGTTCCTACGTCACTATTGTGACTTGCTGGTGGAGGTGACTATAGCTGATTGCCGGAACTCTTTTGTGGTATGGGCTGCAAGGTGATCGCCGAGGGAAAGCAAAGCGTCAGTGGCAAGGTGCCCTTTCCATTCTGTTCCTTCTAGAAGGCAGCAGCAGCTTCTACTTCAGTTTCAAAGCCTGGTGGCCTTTGGGGGGTGGGTGGGGGGACAGACAAAACCTTCTATGCCTCTTCAGGCATGAGTCATTGGTCTTTTTGTGATTGTCCCCTGTTTTAAGAACATGGTAATTATGGAATCTGGGAGTGCAGCTGTCCTTGGGGTATGCCTCAAACCATCTGGTCCCCAAGATGTTCCCAAGTTACTTTTGTACTCAGTGGGCTTTTGTGATTGCCTTGCGAATTCACCTGAGCCCCCCATTGCCCGCCTGCTCATTGCCCTCCATTGTGTCTTTGGCCTGTTCTTCCTCATCTGCTGTACTAGACAGGCTTGCCTGGTGGTGTTGAGGTCATCGCATTAGGCACTATCCCAGGAACAACGATCATAGTGATATTTTTAGAGGCGGCCACACGAGGCTATGGAAATAGGACTCTGTTCAGTATTCATGCCTGGGATTCAGATCTGGGCTCATGAGTTGGTAAGTGTCCTGAGCCCGAGGGGCATCAATTTCCCATGAGCCCAGGGAGCATAATGGTACTACCCAGAGAATTATGGTGATTAAATGAAACAACAAAGTCTTTGATTTAGAGCAATTCCACAGCACTTACTAGATCCTTCTTTTTTAAAAAAAGTCAATTTACTTCCCACTCCTCTTGAGCTTTTATTCTAGCATCTTGATTGGAGAGAAATAAAGTGCAGCTGAGATTGCTTTCATGAGAAACTAAGGGACAATGTTTCTCAAGTAATTACCTCTGAAGGAGAGCTTACCTAGGATGAAGGATATTTACTTGAGAGGTGACTTAGTCCCCGGGTGATTGCCGCCTCCTGTATCCCTCATTCTGGGGGAGGGTTGCAGATGTGGTCTCTAGCCTCTGTGTGGCTCTCTCTACAGTGGAGACCACCTGCTATTTTGCCCACACCCGTCAGATAGCTCTCAGGACAAGGAGCAAGCAGACTAAGCGGCTCTGGACACATCAGTTGGAGAAATACCACTGTCTCTTGTGTCTCTGAGGTCTAGGTTGAATTCTTTTCATATTCTCAGCTGACTCTCCAGTATTGACAAGTCACTTCTCTCATTGCACCTCAGTTTCTTTATCTCCAAATGGATTTGCCAAGCGCTACTCATCTCCAAGATAATTGAAATGAAAAAGAAGCAAAGACCTGATTCCAAATTGCTTTAGAATGAAGGGTGAATTGCAGTAGATAAAGGACAAGTCCAGGGACAGGACTTCAGATATTCTTTGGTGGTTCTATTACCAGCATTAGTGGCTCCATCCCATGGTGCTTGCTGCCTTCATAATTAGGCTGGTTTCTTTCATTTATCACATGTAGGGGGTTTCTCAGAACCAACCTATGTCATCTTGGATTAGATCCTTCAGGCTAACGTAGCCACCCCTGGGTCAACCCCTATAACAAGATGATTTTCTCCCCCCTCTGAAGCTGTACCAGCATTACTCAAAGCGTCTGCTAGGCGTTGAGGGATGTGTGAGAGAACAATGTTGGAAAACAATTATCAGATTGGGGATTTTAAGGGATTAAGAAATTGCCATAATATTTCAGCTGACTTTTCAGTATTGACTCTGGTAGGTGGAAATGCAAGATGTCCCAACATCAGGAGCAGAACTATCCCTCTTGATACACACCAAATCTAGCTCCTGACCATTACTCACCTCCAATTTCCTGTACTATTATCCATTACCTGCCTGGCACTGTTATTAATTTATACAGCTGGGTCGATAATGATCCTGCTTGCTTATTCATTTTCTAACCCCCAAATCTGGAACTGTTACTTGCATGGACCGTAAAAAGACTTTTCCAATATTAGCCTAAAGATTTTTCAGATTATGGAGGTGGGCCCTAAATGTAATTACAGTATCCTCCTTAGAGTGATGTGGAGAAAGCGAATGGTGCTGAAAACAGAGTTTGAAGTGTTATATTTTGAAGCTGATTGGACACAAGTCAAGAAACACACGACTGCTGGAAGCTTCCAAAGCCAAAGAGACCAACTGTACCTGCTCACAGTCTCCAGAAGAAATCGATCCTACTAATACCTTTGGTTTAATAATTTGGATTCTAGACTCCAACCTTTAGAACACAGCAGAATGGATCTGCATTATTTAAGCCACCACACCGTGCTGTTTCCTCATAGCAGCTATAGGAAAGTTATACAAAATAAGTGAGCTAGTTGCTCAGTTAAGTGTTTTCTACTATTTTACAGAGCGCTCACAATGATGGTTGGTATTTGTGGGAGTCAATCTTTATTGTCATCGACTGGATTTGGAATCACTGGGTTTAGACTTGGGAGGCACAGTTCTGTCACTTACAGAAAGGCTTATCTGAAGGAGGCGTGACTCACTCCTCCCTCAATGTGGGCGGCAGCAACATGTGAGGTCCCAGATCTAATTAAAGGGAAAAGGAGACAATCAACAAAATGCCAGCCTTTCCCCCTCTCTGCTTCTTCACCCACCTTGGCCTCCTGACAATGGGAAACTGACCCCTCTGAACCTCAGCCCAAACAAACCCTTCCCCCTCTTAAGTAGTGTCTGTCAGGTGTTTTGCCACATGAAGAAGAAAAGTAACAAACATAATGGTAATTATTATCATTAGTGCTTAATTCATAAACGCCCAGACAGAATAGAAAAGACGTGACGCGGTTTTCATAACACGCAGCCTTCAGATGCGGGACGAAGCCAGGGAGTACAGACACCGGAGGGTGGGAACAGGAGCTGCCGCAGAGTTCTCCGCTCAGAGAACAGTTCCTGCTCTTTTCCTCCCCGCCTGGCACGTGGTTGTCAGTCTGGGGCTTCATCAACAGATCAGGTTTCCACTGTTCGGAACTTCATCCTTATGCCTGGCTCTGTCCTGCTGGGGAGCATCACTGCCTGCCTCCTCCCTGTCTTCTCACCTCAGTGGGTAAGCATTGTTTTCTCTGCCTTGTTTCCAAAGTCTCTTATCTAAAGCAGTCACTGGAATCTGTTAGTTCCTGTGGTTGACTGTTTTATTGGCCTCGTTAAAGGCAATGTAGTCAGGCAAACTGTCTTAGTTAGGGTTACTCACTAAGTAACTGTAATGTGAAGCACCATTAATAAAAACTCAGGGATAGAAATTGGGGTTCAACCTGAAGACCAGAAAAGCAAAGTAGTTAGTCACTAACTCTTACCTCAGCATCAGTCCAAAAATGGTTGTCCTGCCTCCAGGAATCTCAGAATGAGACTAAGTCTGAGAGCTGTCTCCTCCCGTTTTATAATCTTCCCTAGGGCTGGGATTAAAGGCATGCACCACTGGGATTAAAGACATGCACTGCCCGGTTTCTATGGCAACTAGTGTGGCAACAGGGATTAAAGGTGTGTGTTATCACTGTCTGGCTGTAAAACTGAGCAGTGGGGCTGCTTTACTCTCTGATATTCAGGCAGGCTTTATTGATTAAAATACAAATAAAATATTGCTACAGCAATGAAACACCATGACCAAAAGCAAGCTGTGGAGGAAAGGGTTTATTTGGTTTGCTCTTTCACATCACTGTTCTTCCACATTACTGTTGTAGGAAGTCAGGACAGGAACTGAAACAGGGCAGGAACCAGGAACTGATACCGAGATCATGGAGGGGAGCTGTTTACTGTCCTGCTCATCAAGGCCTGCTTGGCCTGCTTTCAATAGAACACAAGACTACCAGCCCAGGGATGTTCCTACCCACAACGAGCTAGGCTCTCCCACATCAGTCACTAATTAAGAAAATGCCCTATAGGCCGGCTTATAACCTGGTCTTAAGGAGGAATTTTCTTAATTGAGGTTCCCTCCTCTCAGATGACTTCAGCGTGTGTCCAGTTGACATAAAACTATCCAGCACACAAGTGTAACAATTACATAAGTGTAATACAACAATTGCAGGCAACCTGACAATTATTGAGATCCATAACCACTCTTGGAAGCAACCATCTAATTATCCCCATTTTACAGATGTGAAAGTATAGACCAAGTGAGTCCTGGAGCATTGTTCAACTGACTTTGGTTGAAATCAGTCATGGGGGTGGTAGAAGTTGGATCTAAACCTGGGCAGTCAAACCTGGATATGTGTGATCTTAGACCACTGTGCTTTTGTAAGTTGGTCTAAAGGCAGAATGGAAACCAGTGTACTCCAGAGAACAGAACGAAGGTCATTTGAGTACAAGCAGTGTCTGAGAAGTGAGGGATTTATAGCCAGGATGCAGCACGCTTCCTGACCAGCAGGAATGAACGGCCACGAAAACGAGATTCCTTCCCTATCACGTCTTTATTTGGAGCACTCGGTTGAGGAAAATTGGGGGAAGGGAAGAGAGAGAGAAAAGACAGAGAAAGGGAGAGCAAGAGAGAGAGGAAGAGAGAGCGCAGGGACTAGAGAAAGATTAGAGAGAGCTTAGAGAGAGCTTAGAGAGAGCTTAGAGAGAGAGCTTAGAGAGAGAGCTTAGAGAGAGAGTGAAAAACCCAAAGACAGCCACTTTTCTAGGGTGAGAGGCTCGAATGCTGATTGGTTGATGCCATTCTGCTAGGGCCCAAGGCCACAGGACAGGTCAGGAAATCGAGTCTCTGAAATGCAAAACAAGGCTCCAAGCACACTGACCTGAGTGGCAACATCAAAGGATTTGTATACCTCCAGGCTGTAGGACTGCTGGCACTATCTCGCCAAGGCGACATCCTGGAGGCTCCCTACACCAGGAGACTGGTGGGCAGAACAAATTGAAAACAAGGAAGCAGTGTGTTCCACCTGCTTGGACGCTGTAATGGTGGGAGGCCTCAGTCACCTGTGTCTGAAAAGTTAGTGTTTCCTCTTACAAATATGCAGGAGCTGGGCATGAAACTGCCTTATAAATTTGGATTCTGAGTTTCATCCAAGGCTCTGACACTGCACCATCCAAAACAGAGAATATTTTGAATTCATTATATCTTGGTTTAATGCCAAGATTTCCCTTACCGAGGACACCTAGAAATATCTTTACATGGTGAACTGTCTGCTTCAAAACATCATCCAACACAGTGAACTTACTAAGCTGCAGTTTTTGCTTTTGTATATGAATTACTTAGCTTGCTAAGTGGAGCAGGAAGTTTTCTGCCGTAAGTAAAATAGGTTGTTTTGGTGAGAATATGTAGGATATACTTGCTAGTCTTTCTCAGCTATTACAAGTAGCTGAAGTGAGTTAATTACTGCCATCATCGTCCTCTGCTTAGGGAATGCTAATAAATCAAAGGAAGAAAAGAAGACAGGGCTTGAATAATCTTTATCTCTTTATCTATTGAGTCGGTGGAAACAAAAATTATATAGTAAATATGCATAGGGCATAAAGTAGTGGAGGGAAATATTTGCCTGTGAATTTGAGTTTTTGTGTCCAGCTGGACTGGCTACACTACCTAGTTATCAAATCATACACTAGTCTAGGTTAATATCTTTCAAATAAAACTTAGATACCACAGTGTATAACCAGATACAAAGGCTTTTAAGATCTTTCTAAATTCATAGCCCTCATCTGCCTGAATTACCAATAGGTCCAAAAGTATAATAAGTCTCATGTGGGTGCTTGTGGTGAATTTTAGAGTCATTTTTATTATTTTCATTTGTGTGAGTCTGTGTGAGTGACTGCCACATGTGTTTGGAGGACGGTGGAAGCCTGAGATGGAATCAGATTCCCTGGTTGAGCTACAAGTAGTTGGTTGATTATGGGCTCCATGTGGGCTCTGGGAACCAATTCTGGTTTGCGAGAAGAGTAACGAGGTCTCTTAACTGCTGAGTCATCTTAAAAAATATTCAAAAGGCTTCTTGGTTTTAGGAAACATTGAGGATCAGAAATAGATAGCAGCTGGCTTACAAGAATGTGAACTCTGGACTTAGATGCAGAAGAGAGGCAAGGTTTTCCACACGCATGTGCTCTGATTGTCCATACAATGATTTATGAGCACTAGAGTCACACAGAGATCAAAATAGCACGGACGTTGGTAATACTGTGCTAGGGAAGGCAGCTTGTAATCAAGGCTCAAAGGAACTACACTGGGCCACAGACTGAGCAATTTCGGGGCTGTTCCCATTTCAGCTTTAGATAGAGATTGGTATTGGAGGAGGAGGGAGAGAATAGGACTATGCGAATACTAGTCCAGCCTGCTCGGTGATTCTTGCTTTCAATCTGTTAATTCCTCTTCTTATGAAATGACCGAAAGGAACCTCCCATTGTACAAGCTGAGGGCTGTTCACTAAAACCTCTCTATACCTCAGTTTTTTTAGCTGGAATTTCAGGGTACCAACAATCCTCATATCCAAGACTGCTTTGTAAGTAAATGAATTAATAGATAAAACCGTTAATGACAGTGCCTGGAAGACAGCAATCAACATCATTATGTTGAGCGCATTATAATAATAGAATATAATAAACTAAACCAAGTCCTTCAAATGTTTCACTTAGCCATAAACCAGGTAGCAGTCAAAGAATACAGTGAGGTGAGTGGACATACTCCTTCCATTTAAGGCCTTCAGATTCTAGAAAAAGAAATATGCTAGGAAACAATCGATAATGATAAAAATAGTAAAGGGGATGCATGCAAGGGACAACATGGTGATTATTAAATTTTTGTGTCTGTTTGACTGGGTCACGGCATGCCCAGATATTTGGTAACTTTATTGTGCACATCCCTATAACAGTGTGCTGGGAGGAGATTAGCCTTTGGATTGATGGACTGAGCAAAGCAGTTTTGCTTTCTGATGGGACCTCAGGAACCAGTTGAAAGCCTAACAGAACAAAAAGAGGAAAGTCCTCTTGCCTCACTGTCCTGGAAGCTGGACATAGGCTTTTCCCTTGTTTTAAGTCTCAAGATGAGAAACTGGCTTTCTCTCAGTTTCTTGCCAAAGTCTCATGCCGGAGACTTGAACCCCTTGACCCTTACCTTAGCAGATAACATGGCAGAATCTGGTTGCCTGGTGAGACAGCAGGTCAAACTAAGGAGGTAGCCATGGGCAATATAAGCAGATGTTTCAAAATACTGCACTCTGAAGGGGAAAGAAAAATAGTGCTGGCTTTGGGAGGGAGGTGTGACCTCTAGGGAAGGCTAATGCTGAGATATTTTAAGTCTAGATGGAATGGAGAAATAGAGGAAAGGGAACATGGGGCAGAGAAGAATGTTCATCATCAACATCTTAAGGATACCCATGAAGTCGGAAGCCCGGGTCCTTGATCAGGTTTGTCTAAGACCAGAGGATCCTCGTGATTAGTCTTCTTCCGGCCAGGAGGGAAGGCAACAAGTATAGGAAGGACTCAGGTGGTTGTTTGGTGAGGGCATCAAGACTTTGGGAAATTCCTACTAGATAGCTTCTTGCTCCTCTGAGCAATGGGTGCCAGGTTATCAGCTCATATGAGGGTCAAAGGATTCACACATGAGAGGCTTGAAAAGAATACGGAACATAGGGATGTAGGGGAGGGGTAATGATTCCCTCAAGGGGAAGGAGGAAGGAGTACGCTGAAAGCTGGAGGCTTGGGCAATGTCATGCACATGGTCATGGCTTCTCCAGGAAGAGACTTAGGTGATGACCGGATGGGGCTTTTCCTCTCTTCAAACTTCCTATCCTTTTACGTATGAGCAAACTGAAGGCTGAGAAAACTGTAATTTCAGAAGCATTAAACTGTCAACCAACAGGAAAGCCTGCTATAAATCTGTCTGGGCTCCCAGGCTCTTGATTTCGCTGCTATCGGCCACAGAAAGTCTTGCTTTGCTCCCGGCAACAGCAGTTGGTGCCTGATGCTATTGGAGTTCTTGGCTACCTGTCCATCAAATACAAAAGCTTTACCTTCCTTGAGTTTTCTTCACCTTGTAGATGAAAGGAAGTGATCTCTGGACATCTGTGACTCACGCCTTACTGGGGCCGGGTTGGATGCCCCTATTGCTCAATGAGGTACAGGTCCTTTGCTCCCTCATTCTGTTCTGTAAACATTCCATACTACCAAGACGCTGCTGAAGCTGGCTGCATTCACCTGAAGATGAGACTGACTAATGAGGAGACTTCTAGAAATGCTGACTGGGGAAGTGGAATGTGTGTTGTCTGAAAAATAATAAATCAGTGGTTGATTGAGAATGTAATACTCAGAATAAGAAAATAGCTAGAAATCTGATCAAGCATGAACAAGCCAGAAGCTCCTAATGCACTGTGAATTATATGTATGTATGTGTGTGTGTGTATATATATACACACACACACACATACATATATATAAAGGGCAACTTCAACACA